CTGGCCTCCGCGGGCCGGCGGCCGAGTTACCGTTACACCCCCTCGGCGTTACCGTTACATCCCCCGGCGTTACCGCTAACCCTGGCGTTACCGTTACGCCCCTCGGCGTTGCCGCTAACCTTGGCGTTACCGTTCGCCCCCAACGTCACGGGCCTGAGGGGACGGGCCAGCAGAGCTACCCCGAAACCGTGGGTGTCTGTAGAGGGCCTGGGAATGGCACCTGTTTATTTTAGTGCCTCCTATACCGACGTAGAGTTGGATGGTGCTGAAGTTAGAAGTCCTTTTAACTGAAAAGGAAAAAAAAAAAATTACTCTTTTTCACTCGTCCTCTGACCCCAAAGAGAACATGCTCTCCGGGTTATGTGTTTTTCAAGTCACCTCTGTTACCACCTAATGGTAACACCTGACCTGTTGTGTCCCCATCCTTTCAGTCAGCTAGTATTTTGGTTGCAAAACAGGACTCTTACCCTGCACTTGAATCGAATGCTGGTCTCTGACAGAGCAAAATTCAGAGGAAGGGGAGCGCTGGAAGTCAGCCTTTCCCCTGGGTTGTCCAGCCTCTGGGTTACACAGGTCTAGACCTGGGCCCAGGAGCTGGCATGCTCCAAGGCAAGCCATGCGGCCTAGCCAGGTGGTCATCAAGGGCTGAAGACCCAAAGCAGCCAAAGTGCAACTTGGGAGGCCGGCAGCCCCACCAACCCCAGTGTTTCCCAGCCCAATATATCGCCACAGTCACTGCTCTGTGTTCCCCCTTCCACTTGATACCGAAGACATCACCAGCAACATCATCAGAGAGCCCCTGCGATTCTCTGAGCGACTCCCCTGTTCAGTTGTTTGGAAGAGGTGGCATTTCTCAGTGTCCCCACAGTTATGCACTGTAAAAGCTGCCCCCTACATTGTCCTGATTTCAGCTCTCTGTTGAGCAGGGTCAGCCCCCAGGGAAGTGTGGCTGTGCCAAGAAGAGGTGGGAGCTGGAAATGGGGCCTTGGAGACCTCCTGTTGGTGGTGCACCGGAATAAAGTTGTGTGCTCAGAACTACTTTGAGGTGTGTCCTAGCTGGATGTTAAAAGACAGCATTATTCTGGAGCAGGGACATCCACAAGAGTTAATCCAGAGCGCTCTGTAAATCTGTGAGGCTAAGACACGTGATGCAGGTTGCATCTTGATACTGAACCGACCTGAGTCATACCACATGTTACACGAGCAAGTAACTTGAGGTTCTGGATTTCAATTCATTGCCCTTTGGACACAGGCTAAAAGCTGTGTAATCAGTAATCACATATTAGAAGAAGCAGCAGCAACGTATGACTACAATGAGAAGATTCCCTGCCCAAGGGAACTTTTGCCCTGGCAAAGTCTGGGCTTAAAGAATAGACTTCTTTTGCTTCCATGTCATGCACAGGGGAACCAAAATGAAGGGAATGGCAGTCTCCTCCCCACTCAAAACACATTATTTACACAAAAGTTTCTGTCATCTTAGAGACGAAGAAATGCAGACAAACCATCATTGGCTTATACCAATCAAGAATTTAAAAAGAATGTGTGAAACAGCAAAGATGCTGCGCTTAAAGGTGTCCAGAATACCATGGACAAAACCCTTGGTCCACTAGTGTTTCCTTGGACACTCCAAGAATACCGGATTTCCAAAACTAATATTTTGAAGGGACAGCCTCTGTTCCTAAGAGCAGGGAGTTATCAGAGCTGTGCCCAGCCTTCAAGAAAGGGTGTGCTGTAGTGGGTAGGGCTGAACGAATCTACTCCATTTGGACTTGTTTCATTTGTTTTTTAAGTCAGCATGGTTACACAGATGCAATCCCTGCCGTGAAACCAGAGACAGCCACATAAGAGCAGAAACCATACCAGTATAGGTGTTCCTTTTCAATATAACATTGTCCACTTCATCCAGGTTGTACTGTTTCAGCTAGATCAGGATAGCTAA